TGATTTGTGTTCTATTCTGAATAAAATATTAGATGTTGGCACCTCCACATCATTGCATTCAGTTTTATTCACAATTTGTTTAGTGTCCCAACTTTTTTGGAATCTGGTTTGTACATCTGATACAGCTGATCAGATCTTTTCTATTGATCATTAACAAAAACATGTTAAGATTTCCAGCAGAGCTCTGAAGTGGTTTACGCCCTACAAAAGTTTTTGTTACAACTCATGATGGTGCTTCTTTTTTAGTGCCTCTGACCTACGGGGCTCCTCAGGGGTCTGTACTTGGAACAGTTTTTTTCTCTCTTCTTCCTCAGCTGTGTGTGAGGTCAATGAATGCTGTTCATGATAACAGTTTTATTTGTCCTTAGATTTTGGTGATAGATCTGTTGATTTTTTTAGATTAGAATTAGATTAACAGGCTGTGTTCAAATTTCCTTCAACAAAATTACTGTAAAACTGTAGCAATTTGAATTTATAATTCATGCTTTTGTGTCATCATGTTTAAATAAATGCAACTTTATTTCCGTTTTATTAAAAATGTTTGTATCCTATTCAGGATGGGTTCAAAACTGCTTTAAGAATACAAAATTTACAAAAGTTTAAATTTAAGTAACTCTTTTTATGAATAAATATCATGTTCTCGTTTACAGTGAATCCTTTGGATGCCTTAAATACCCCCTAAGATCACAAGGTAGTTGTGTGTTTTATGTCCCAGGCCCATTTGGTGGACAAATCTTCTAGGTGTCGGGATGGAAAACTCTCTCGGTCACTTTAAAAGACAGCTGAAGAGTCGCCTCCTCCTAAAGTGAGTTTGTGTTTAAACTCACCTGTTTCATTTTATTTTTTCTTCACAGCACTAAGCTGGTGAAGATTCTCAATGTGCTGGTGAAGATTCTCAATCATCCAGGACATGATGAATTCAAAAAGCGTTCAATACAAAAACAACTGGACTTTATTTGTAACAGAAGACGTTTCACTCCTCATCCGAGGAGCTTTCTCAATTCAAAGAGCAGTGAGTGAGGGGTTCAGGTTGTAAGGCTGAGTGAGATAAGACACACACACATAAGACACACACACATATGTAGATTGGCAGTTCACACCTAAACAGTAGGTCTTTGTTCCTCTAATTCACAGACGAGGCCCCTCTGTTCCCATCAAGTGTGAAAACTGGCTGGGAATCCGTTTTAAAGTTGCATTATATGTTCTTGAAAGTGGAAATCTGAGGCCTCCTCCTCTGTTAAGAGACGGCTTTTCTCTTTTTACACAAATTGCTTCCTTCACCCCCCCTCTCAAACCATCTGTGTTCTCGGTCCAAAATGTGCACATTTTGGTCCTCAAAAGAGTGTCCCTTATCTGTGAGGTGGAGGTGAACAGCTGAGTCTTGTCCAGAGGAGGTGGCTCTCCTGTGTTGAGCCATGCGTCTGTGAAGAGGCTGTTTAGTTTCCCCAATGTAGAGGTCTGGACAGTCCTCGCTGCACTGGACCGCATACACTACACCACTCTGTGTGTGGGTGTTTTGTCCTTAGGGTGGACCAGCCTCTGTCAGAGTCCTGCTGGGTTTGGGTTTGTTTTTGTATTGAACGCTTTTTGAATTCACAGCACTAAGCTAATCTGTTCAACTCTTACAGTTGAAAGAAGCACTGAATTCAACCAAATTATATAACAAATGAAAAATAAGTAGATCTGAAACAAATATAGTTCAGGATAGTTATAATTAACCACCATATGGATTTACAGAACTTTTGCTGCCGTTTGCAGTCACAGTTGATACTCTGGACATCTCAAAGGTAGATAAAAACTTGTAAATAATTTAAAAATTAAAATGTGTGGAACCACTTACCATGTGACTTTCTTTGGTGATGTAAAGTTTAACAGAAATATCAAGCTGCTCATTTTCTCCATCTTGCCAAACTTCAACAGACTGAAAAAAATAAATAAATCTCATAAATATAAGAATATATAAATACTAATAAAATGAAGAGCTGTGGCGTAAAAGAGCAGAGTCTGTTACAGTAGTCCTCTACTTTGCAGACTCGCTCTTTCACGTTTTTTTTCCAAGTAAGATTGAACACGAGGAAGAGAAAAAAAATTGTACAAGACAAACGATTGTCAACTTCAATATTACTCATGTGATTGGGACAGTACGGGATACTGTACAGAAAACAAGTTAATGAAAAAATAAAATACTTCGGACAGGCACCACCATTATGTAGTTTCTCTCAATAAGCCTACACTGTATCCCCGCTCATAACGAATACATTTCCCAGAAGCCAACAGTGCCCCGCCCAGAAGCCCCATTGCCTTCTGCTGAAATAGTAGAGGGAAAGTTTTGATCTGATCGGAAAAAGTTCGGTCCTTATTCATTCAGTGACTTCGGCGCCCAGCAGATGCAGAGAGAAGCCAGCAGGAATCGGACCAGAACCGGACGTTCAGACCCATCGGCAAATCAGAGAGCTAATAGCCGGCCCATGAAGACTTCCGAGCGGGGAGTGCACCGCCGTAGGTCCAGTGCTCACCCTGTGGAGTTCACCACCACTGCCCTGAGCCAGAGAGCTTACCAGAACCAGAAGGGTAGGTCCGCTGAAACGGAACCAAGTCAGAGCAGAACCGAGCCGCTGCTGTTCTACACAGCTGGTGAGTAAAATTGAGTACAGTAGTTGCATACAAGTACGCTGTTAAAATTAGTAGGTTTAAGAGTTTAGAACATTAGCTATGTTTACATGGACATAAGTAATCTGATTAAACGGCCAATCGAAATAAAATGTGTCATGTAAACGCCCCGTTTGGATTATTTTGAGCTGATTCAGCTTGATCAGAATGAATTTGTAATCAGAACGAGATGGGTGGTTTATGCCGATTCATAATCCAAACGGTGTACATGTAAACACTTAATCTGAGCAATGTTTTCAGATTGTGGAAAACGAAAGTTACGTATGTAACCAGAAGGTTACAGAGTCCCTTGTCCGAGCCTGCCCAGCTGGTTGATGGACCGACTCACGAAAGCGCCTGTCGGGTCTCTGCTGAATCGCACGAGGGTAAAGACCACCTGGTCGATTATGACCCAGAGGCGGCGGTCAAATGCTGGGGTCAGCCAACGAGCGCCTTGAATGCCGAGGAGGTGGAGGGAGCATCGCTCTGCTAAGGCTCGAAAGCTGCTGCCTGGTCTGTCGTGCCTGGACGGTCCGTTCTAGGGCTTCCAAGGCAGCTGAACCATACAACTCCACCGGCACCAACGGGACATTACGGAGGGTTCTACAACATGGCTCGGTCAATGTTGACTGCACCAACCAGACCTGTTGGCGAGCCTGGACCAAGAAGGCCATCACATGCCCAAGTTCCCTCGTCATCAGTGCAAAGGCCTGAAGCACTGTATCGCTGCTTTCGCACCACTAGTCCCCTGAAGGGACGTGGAGAGGGCAAGCATGAGGTGCGCCATGGAATTGCCAAGGCAGCCAGCACGCGCTCCAGCATAATAAGCTCTGCAGAGGAATTCATCAGTGACACGACACTGAGCTTGTGGGCACCGAACATCACTGCGCAGAGCCTCCTCTGGTGACACAATGAGCGAGGCAACAGCAGGTTCCATTGTTGGCATGCGATCCAAGCCCGCTGCAGCTGGCTCATGCATAGTCACCAGCATTCTGCCATCCGCGGAGAGGTGCGCAAAGACTTTTGGGTCCCGCCAGCAACCAACTCCCTCAGGTGCTCCTCCGATGGAGGGGCGGAAAAGGAAGGAGGGGCCCGTCCGCGCCTGAAGAAGGCACTTCCAGGGGTGGAATCCTCTGGTTGCAGGACGTCCAGCTGCAGCTGTCTCAGGGCCATATGCATGACGTCCTGCATCGAGCCGTTACCTGACCCACTAGCTGCGCTCCGAGACAAAGAAAGTGAACCAGTTTCTGAGACTTGAGATGACTGTCCCTCCTCCTCACCTAAAAAGTGAGAGGCAGAGGCAGCCAAGGATAACACATCCTCCTCCGCAGCCAGCTCAAGGTCAAGGTCAAGGTCAAGGCCAGAGCCTAGGGCGGCTAGTAGGAATGCGCAATATAAACGGTACATGGTAGAAACGATAGAAATTTAGCCTACGATAGAAATCTGACTTCTACCGGCTAACCTCAGTAATGCTGTGTCTGATGTAAAATCAGAGCTGTCAGATTTAATCGTTAATTTTTTTGAGTTGAAACTGTGTGCAAGTGGCGTTCAAGTGTAAAATCAGAGCTGTCAGATTTAATCGTTAATTTTTTTGAGTTGAAAACTGTGCGTAAGTGGTGTTAAAGTCTTTTCTTCGATGGCTAAGTAGCGACGCGACAAGCTAACTACGCCCGGCTTGCCGTAGTGTTGCCGTATTCTGACGCATGCGCAAAACGCAGTGTTCCGTCGAAAGTTTTATTTTTTTCCGTCGAAAGTTAAAGTAAGCGTTGGTCAGCTTTAAACAAAACTGCTCTCTGATCTGTGAAAAGAACGCTGTGTTGTGATTTTATTGCAAGACCCTCTGGCCAAAGTCACAGTTATTTTTTGGTATGGTATGGTATAAAGTTTATTCATTTTAAAAATACAAAACAGTTTCATAACTATATATAAAAAAATATATAAGAAATTTAAAATTGGGCAGCTGTGGCTGAGTGGTTAGAGCAGTCGTCCTCCAATGCAAGAGTTGGGGGTTCGAATCCACCAGCAGACACATGCTGAAGTGTCCCTGGGCAAGACACTGAACCCCTCGTTGCCTCCGATGTGTGTCCCATCGGTGAATGAATGTGATAAAGCTCTGATTAGTCTCTTTAGAATGATTTGTTCAATTAGCTTTGTAGAGATCTAGTAGAGTGCTGTATGAATGGGTAAATGAGGACACAGATTGTAGTGTAAAGCGCTTTGAGTATCTCAATAAGATAGAAAGACGCTATACAAGTACAGTCCATTTAAAATGAAAGGCAGCAGAAAGAAGAAAAAAAATCTTATATCTGCCCCTTATTTCAAACAATTAGTTCAATCATAATAATCTTCAAGTGACAGAACAAAATGAATAACTCTTTCTAATTTTTCTAATTTTAATACAAAAACACACTAAGCTGCTTCATACATATATTTTTTAACAATTCAGCTTTGATCTTTTTCTTAAATGTACACATTGACTTGGCATTCTTAACATCACTCTCTAGACCATTCCACAATCCAATTCCTTGGATTGAGGTAGACCTTCCCTTCAGACTAGTTCTGAATTTTGGTTTGACAAATATCTCTATCCCCTTAAGATTATAACAACTTTGCCTTTTAACAAAATTGCTTTGGATATTTAATGGTAATGTGTTATTTTGAGCCCTATACAGAACTGATAAAATACTATAATCTACCAAATCATGGAACTTCAATAACTTCAGTTGATAAAATAATGTGCTTGATGGGTGACTGTAATGCTTTCTAGTGATAATTCTTACAGCTCTTTTCTGTAAAATAAAAATAGGCTTTGTAAATGTTTTACACGCTTCCCCAAACATCAATGCAATAGATTAAATGTGGAACAATGATTGTCAGAGTCAGAGTCAGAGTTTCTTTATTGTCATTCGCACCTCATGTGGTACATGTGGTGGAGCGAAATTATGTACGCAGGGTCCCAATATACAACATGTTATACAACATGTACAGAGTTTTATCATTTAATAATTCCCTGACTTTGTATAGTACTGCAATAGATTTAGCTATTTTTATTTTTACAGAATTTATGTGATTTTTCCATGTTAGCTGTTCATCAACGATTACACCCAAAAATTTCATCTCATTAACTCTACAAATCTCAACACCCTCAATTTTAAATGGATCGTCAACAGTTCTTTTTGTTACTAAATATTTAGTTTTATCTATATTTAATGATAATTTATTAATTTTAAACCAAGTTTGTATTTTATCAAATTCTGTCTTCATCAATTCCAACATCCGTTTTACATTCAAAAAGCGTTCAATACAAAAACAACTGGACTTTTTTGTATTGAACGCTTTTTGAATTCATCATGTCCTGGATGACTGAGAATCTTCACCAGCATATCCGTTTTACATCTTTATCCAAACAAAAAAATGTAGCGTCATCTGCAAAAAGGACACATTTGAGGAGTCCTGATACATTCACCAAGTCATTCACATATAAAATAAATAACTTTGGTCGAAGCACAGAGCCTTGAGGAACTCCACACGTGATATTGCAGGGGTCAGATCTTACATCATTTATTTGTACGAACTGTTTCCCATCTTTCCACATATTGTGTCAGCTCTCCTTAAAGCAGAAGGAGACGCCCACTAGAGGGTTGGAGGGTGAAGTGTTTCAGTGTAAAATGCTGCTCTGTTGCGGTTCATTTCTTAAGTGAGAAGACTGGAAACTGTTAAAGAGTTAAGAACATATTCTTTTGTTTAAAACATATGACTAAAACTAGATTTGATATCTTTTGCACTGTTTTGCACCACAAGAAAGAAGCCTAATACTTGATTTGTTTATTATTTTAAAACTCTGGACCTAGAATTGGAATTTTCTTAATTCAAAATATATGATGGCAAAAGGACACCATATGCTTTTTTTATTCTTATTGCAAGTTTTATACCAAAAACATATTGCGATATATATCGTTATCGCCACCCTTCACAATATATATCGTGATATGAATTTTATGCCATATCGCACATTCCTAGCAGCTAGTACCGCTAGCTCAGTCCAACCATGTATGAGGTTAGTAAAAAAAAGACTGGGGAGAGGGTACGCGAACGCTAGCCTCCACCAATGAAAACAAGGCCAGAAACTCAGCTGGCTAAGTAATTAAATTTCGGAGCACAGTACAACTGACCACGCAGTTGGAGGTCTCCAGCAAACGGGAGCAGAGCGAATGCTACCACTAACAAACGGCGAAATATAAATAAAAAACGCTACTCACCGGTGTTGAATCACAGACATAGTAGTCAAACGCTGTAAGTTGGGAGGGGGATGGAAAATGCCGTAGACCCCAACGAACAGCAGAAATACCTTTGAACAAGGTTAAACTGTTGCAGCCCCTAGGAGGGCGAACACGCTATTCCCGCCAACGGGCAGTTGGGCCTCCGACGACGGTGAAAAGTTCAAAAATCCAAAGGGCTGAAGCCCTGAATTGAACCGCGCACGAGAAGAAAAAAGGAGCAGAGCTGCGGATGACGTCAGGCTATATAGCCTCTGATTTGTCATCCGTGTCACACCTGTGACTCCGTTGGTATCATTACTCGAACAGCGCATGCATGAAGGGAACATTCAGTGCGTTCAGCACCAACAGTCAGGAGGGATGAAATAGAACTGACTTGACTGCGCATGTGCGACCTGTCAACCTCATGTATTTCCTCCTGGCTAGATGCTAATAATATTAGCATGTCGAGGAAGCAACTCTGGTCGGTGAGCGACAACATTTCTACTAGAAACTTTGAAAGAGCTCAAAATGATCTGTATTACCTGTAGCTCAGTCAAAGTCAGAGATTCTTTATTGTCGTTCGCACCACGTGGTACATGCGGTGGAGCGAAATTATGTACACAGGGTCCCAGTTACATCCAACAATAAAATGTATAAGAAAAACAATGATAACATCTAACATATGAACTAAGAAAAACAAACTAAAAATACACTAAGCACTAATAGCATAAAAACATTACGTCGAACAGCAGCACGAACATGAGCATGAGTCTGTGTGAGCAGATGAGCACGCACGAACACCTCAACATGAAACAGATCAGCAGCAACATGATGTGATTTTTCACAGTGATTATCCTGGTTAGAGATTCATGAGTCTAACAGCCTCAGGGTAGAAACTGTTCCTCAGGCTAGTGGTTCTACACTTAATGCTCCTCAACCTCTTTCCTGAGGAGAGCGGGGCAAAAAGTGTGTGTGCTGGGTGAGTGAGGTCCTTCATGATGCAGGTGGCCCTCTTCCTGCATATGGAGGTGTAAATGTTTGTGATGGTGGGGAGACTGACTCCAACAGTCTTCTGTGCAGCCTTCACCACTCTCTGCAAAGCTTTTCTTTCTGCAGCTGTGCAGCCTCCATGTCACATGTTGATGCTGGAGCACAGGATGCTCTCCACTGCACACCTGTAGAAGGAGGTGAGGACTGAGCTTCCCAGACCAGCTCGTCTCAGCCGTCTGAGGAAGTAGAGTCTCTGATGTGCTCTCTTGATCAGGCTGGTGGTGTTGCCCCAGCTGAGGTTGTCATTCAGGTGTACACCCAAGTACCTGTAGCTGGAGACTACTTCCACCGCAGATTATCTTATGTTCAGGGGGGTGTAGGTGTGTTTGTTCCTTGTGAAGTTCACAATCATCTCTTTTGTCTTCTTCACATTGATGTGAAGGTTATTCTCTTTGCACCAGCTCTCCAGGTGTTCCACCTCCTGCCTGTAGCTGGACTCATCATTGTTTGTGATGCATCCCACCACCGCTGTATCATCTGCAAACTTTACAATGTGACAGCCTGGATGGGTAGCTGCACGTGAGCAGATTAAACAGGAGGGGGCTCAACACACATCTCAACCCACAGTGCTGAGGGTTATGGTGGAGGAGAAGCCGTGGATCCTCAACCATCTCCATCTCCACCATCATTAAAACCTGCGTGGGTCCATTTTGGGCGCTCGGGTTTGTTTACGTTCATCACGGAAGTAAAACTACTACTTCTGTGTTTTTAATGAGAGTTTACCACTCTGTACGTCAGTACTTCTATTCTGAATAAAAGCCCACTGCATGTGAACGCTCGTCATGATTAGATTGTGCCCATGTAAACGATACATTTGGATTATTTAATCCGAATACATTTCAATCCAATCAAATAATTTTGTGCACGTAAACATAGCTAATGTGGGCTTTGTTGCTGCAGGGTAGGTTTGCAGAAACGGAACAGAGTCGGACCGGAACCAAGCAGAACAAAGCTGCTGCTGTTCTGCAGAGCTGGTGAGTAAAATTTAGTAACTACATATACAGTAATGTACGTATGTTGTTTAAATTATGTAGGTTTAAGAGTTTAGAACATTGAATAACTGTAGAAAGGGTTTCTAAAGCCTTAATATATATAAATACTAAAATATGTATAACGTTGATACTTCGTGGATTTTCACTTCCTGCATAGTCCGGAACGTAACCCCTGCGATAAGTGAGGGACTACTGTACTACGTTTCACAGAAGACTCTGCTTGTGTATAGAAGGCATCAGAGTGTTCTTTACAAACACTCTGTGTGTATCAAATAACTACAAACACTAACCAAGCACTGCAACAGCCCTTCTTGGTATTTTTAGTTGAACCTTTTGAATGGGTGAACATCACCACTTTTAAAAAATAAATACAAAAAGAGATTTGCATATTAAAATCCGCACAATAAAAAGACGCCCATGGCCGTGTACAAGACACAGAATGAGGGGAGTGACGTAAAGGAGTGTAGTCAACCTGCTGTCAGCTGATTGTCACGTGGCGGTCAGACACAGCGCATTAGTCACCTGTGTTATAGAATAGGGCACTTCCTGCGGCAGATACTCCAGAAGCTTTTCTCTGATGGTATTGGTGCAGACTTCCTCTGGGCTCTGGTCAGTAAGGACCTCACTGTGGTACCGCCACGGTCCCGGCTTAGCTGCCACCAGAAAGTAGCTCTAACACAACAGGAGACAGGTTAAACTTTTACACTTGCTCTCTTTAAACGTTCCATACACTCAAAACTTGCAGAATTCTGTTGATGTTCAGGTCGTTTTAAACAAATGGGTACATTTACATTAAATTACACACAAACACATAAGATGCATAACACAGAACAATTTGTAACAAAACAAATTTATGGTATTAAACGGTTATATAAAAGGATTAATTTAGTGAAACTGTTTCCATTGAGTAAAACAAACAGCTGAATATGTTGCAGGGCAGAACTTGTGTGAAGTTCATGTACGAGCAACAAAATACGGAAGAACTGCATTGATGTAGCACATTTTACACTCATCTAGGTTAAAATGTTTAAAAACGTGCGACTCTACAGCTTTATAAGATGAAAAACTGTGTATGAGCTGCTTATTTGTAAAAAAATAAATCTGCTTTTTATCCATTTGAAATTAGAACGAAGAATAACGCCAAAAAAAAAAAAAAAAAAAACTCATACTTGAATTTTCCATACTTTTTCAAACCTGGAAAATTATCAGTTCTTTTTTTCAGCTGCTTTTCTACATTAGTGACCACACAGTGTTCACCTTCAGTGTGTCCACGTCCTCCTTGTCCACAGAAGACAGCATGAAGACGTCCTTAAAGCGAGACCAACCCAGCTGTTTGCTCAGGTCCTTCAGCTGCTCTTTGCTCAGCACAGAACCCGACTCCCCATGGTCCTCAGCAACTGAAGCGTCCTCATCCAGAGACACCTTCAAGTTCCTCTCAGGTCTTTTGTCAGCCCACGGAGGCTTGATCACCGGCCTGACTCGTATTTTGTGTCCGTTCACCACTCCACATGTCAGTTGTGCTGTGATGTCCAGCAGCTTTTCCTTGTCCTTCACCAGGTCCACCTTGAAGATGGACAAACACCGAGACGTTTGTAAAGTCTTGAATCTAGATTATTGCCTGCCATCTACAGCAGTGGACAACAATGTACGAGTTTGACCAGTACATACCTAACCCTAAACCTAACACATCCTCAATTCACACCTTAGTCCTAAACCTAGCCCCTAACCCACCAACGGGACTTCTTCTTATGGGGCCCGGGCTTTGGGCCCCATAAGGAGCAGTTGGTCCTCACAATGCAGTATAAGTTGGAAAAATGGGCCTCACAAAGTAGCATAAACAAGGACACACACACACACACAAATAATTTTCTTGTAATTTTCAAATCATGATTTTTATGATCGTCTACTGTTGTACTGATAAATATCTCCTGGAGGGTAAACTATATCTTGGCTGCATCAAGCTGTGAAATCCTTCGTTTTCTACAACTGATAGTGGTTGGTCATTAATTATGATGAAGTTTAGAAACTTCTCAGTAAACATTCGACCTCTGGGGCTTCAGCGATGTCTTCTTCTTGTTCAACCTGCAGCAAGCAGTCTGATCTCGGTCAGCCGCGCTCAGTCTGCCCCTCCTCAGAGACGGACAGACAGAGCGGGTCAGACTGAGCGCGGCCGACCGAAATCAGACTGCCTTCTCCAGACAGTGCTGCTAACTCAGTCATCACGTTGTAGCTGGCTGCAAACTATGAACTGGATATACGGAATGTGAGGCGGGTCTGATCACTCTGGGCTCATGAGACACGCCTCCGTTCACGAAATCCATTCCATAGTTTGAAGCCAAAGTGCAATGCAACCACAAACATGCATAGATCAAAAATATTGGCAGGTTGGATCGGAAAATCCGATACGTAAATTGTGCTTGTATCGGAGCCCGATACCGATACTTGATCGGATCGACCCCATCCCTAACTGAGATGCCATAAAAAAAAAAAAACTATATGCATTAGGCAAGTTTTATGTTTGGGCCCAACATGCTGCCATCTTGTCTTACATTACTGATATAAAAAGCAAAAGAAAGATTAGAACAAGGAGTGCAATAAGTTTGTAAAATCAATTACGGTAGTTTTTCCTACTCATTCCTTATTATTAGACAGTGGAAGAGCTTTGTGTTTACATAAGATGTAGTTTAGACTTTAGGAAGCCTGATAAGAAGCTGCCACATAAAAAAAAAAAATCAACTGTGTCCTGATGCATGCTCAATACTCCAGGTAGATAAATCTAACAAGGTTGAGTCAGGTCCTCTGGACGGATTCTTTGTTGAAACGTTTCGTCTTTTATCCAAAAGACTTCTTCAGTCTGAGGAGCTGCAACAAACTCAATCTTATAAACAGCACCATCTCATAGTGGATCAACCAGTCTGCTGGTGACATCCAGAACTCTTTGTTAAAATGGAGTTTAACTCATTATTCACACCTTTGCCATCATTTACCTTAAATGAAACATAAAAAAATGACATTTTCAATTGTCTTCACACTTCTATATTTTAATTCCATGTGACTTAACTACTGTCAGCTGATCAACTGTTTATTTTAGGCACCAAACGTGTCAAACACCCCCTCCCCCCAGCATGCACAACACCTGGGGTTTACAGAGAACATATGACCAGTGCACGGTCCTTGTTTTTTCTCATCTTGGTGGTGTGGAACCAGCTGATCTGATTATGGTGCAACATGTTTTATTCAGGTAAAGAATACCTTATTAAGAACTAGGATTGCCGGGATGTGCGAGTACTCAGTCAGACACTTCAGCACCTCGAAGTCGAGCCTGTTGCACGTCCATCTGTCCGACAAGTCCACCATGACTACAACTGGAAATGGACATAGTTCCAGTTAAAACTCTTCATATAATAATTCACATTAAATCATCAAAAAGCACAAGAAAGACTGCAGCTCAGGTCGAGCTGATTAACAACAGAGTAAATAAATCATACTTAGGTCAGCTTCTCTGACAGTGTTCCAAGGATCCACAAGTAAAGATTTCTCCAGGTGGTGTCTGTAAAGACCAAAGGTCCAGTCATGAATTCAGTGGACATTGGAACATTATGGAAACTACAGACTGGGAGTAAAACTAAAATACTGAACAGGAAGAGCACCTTTTGACCTTTGATAGGGTGGTGAGACCAGGAGTGTCCAGCAAAATCTGCAAAATAAATGCAATTACAAAAATAGGTCTTTAACTTTAGGTTAATTCTGCACTTATAACTGTATTTTTAAGTCGAGCTCTTACAATCTGAGTGTCGTTCATCGTTAGGACGCCCAGTGCACGAGACCGCGTAGTGTGGACTTTTTTGGACACAGCAAACACCTTTAAAGAACAATAAATGAGTTGTTAGCGCCAACTCCTACACAGTGACATAAAATAAACAGGAGACAAACAGACTTTTCTGCCAAGGAGCTGATTGGATAACGTGGACTTTCCAGCATTTGGAGCACCAATTATAGCCACTTTTAAAACCTTTGAGTCAGGCGGCTGATCTGGATATCTCATTAACAAAGATAACTGCTCACCTGCAAAGACAAAAAACCGGATAAATAATTTCGACAGATAATAAATATCAAAAACCTTACAGTGCACTGTGTAGGAGGATGACATGCACTTTCTGAGTCAACCCTGCACAGTCAGATCAGTAAATCTTTGAGGTGGTGGTCTGCTTACTGTTATCAGAGAGAACCAAGGCTGGGAGGTGATCAATGCTGCCATCTGCTTTTGCTTTGCCTTTTATCAGTCTGCTGAGAAATGCTTCGGATGTAATAAAACAAGCAGGAGTGAAGATGAAGCCATTCCTCCTGCCTCGGCTGCAGGCAGCGTTTCCTGTCGAGACATCAACATTTCCATCACTTCAATGCCAGCAGCTTGGCAGGGCCCCCAATTAAACTAACTCAGAGGTTTATAATGATGAATTTATATCATCCTCGTCAATATTATCAGATATAAATTCTAAAAGTAAATCCTTATCTATTTAAACATAGCTCAGGTGTCTGTTTAAAACCATGTTACACTGATATAGTGTTAATAAATCTTTAACCACATCCAAAAATAAAGCAATAATCAGAAGACCTTTTACTTTAAACGGACACAATTTCCTTTTCCAGATGCATAAAAAACAAATAATTAATTTTAAAAAGCATTTGTAAATGTCTAGATTTATTTATTTAAAAATAAATGAAATAAATAAATAAATAAAACTGCAGGCCACTTAAAAAAAAGGGAAGTAAAACTTTCATAGATAGCTATTTTTACATCATTTCATACCCTATTTTAAAACGTAAAAAAGCACACTGCAAACATTTTCTGTTCAAATTTTAAACCGTCTTGTTTTGACTTCACAAATATTAGATGGTTTTAAACAATAAAAACCAAAAACCTGATTAATTTAGGATGAAATGATGTTAAGAGGGCACAGCTATAGTTCTACTGCCAGATGATACTAAAGCAGAAGCAGCTGACTGAGAAACTGCTGCTGTCCTTCCTCCGTTGTTTCATACTGAGCAGCTGCATCTTAACATAAAATAGATTGTTGCCCTTTCCTCTCCACAAAAGGAAATCTAGAAACTCCAAAGCTTCCTGGCAGAGCTATCGGTCTTCTGGAGGGTAATACAGGTCCTTCAAAATCAAGAACTAGAAGACCAAACAGTTTCTATCCCAAGGCCATCATGACACTTAACTCTGTTTAATTAGGTAAAATAATTCTTAAATAACCCGTCTACATCATAATGTGCAATCATTTTTTACATTAATTTACCATTTGATCTGCATATTTCCATACATACACCTGATTCTATATTATGGTCATTATTGCTTCTTTTACTTTTGTATGCAATGAAAAGTAGTGTGATCCAATTTTATTGCAGTTGTTGATAGTCAATTCTGATTCTGGTCATATTTCCCCCACTGCTCTGTGTCTATGTACTAGAGGTTTTATTTAGCTTTTTACATTACTCAACATAGCATAAATGATTTACCTGGACTGTTAGTGCGCCACAGTTAAATGTAAAATAATTGTTAATGTGTAACTATACAAAATGATGCATGTACATCGTACACATTTCCCCTTGGACAGATGAAATGTGAAGTCAGTCAAACTGAGTAAACATAACCCTACAGGTTTGTACAATAGAATAATAAACAAGCAATGACAATGCAAGTATATTAAGAAAAAATGGTCCTTAAAAATGATTTTATCCACAACATTGGGTATATTTTAAATGCATTTATATGACTCATTTTGAGAAAAAAGTAACTTTATAAAATAGTATAAACTGTATTTGTGGGCATTTTGAGAGTGTTGTTGTGCTACAGGTATACATTTAAGAATATTTACAGGTGTTCTTACAGGTATACATGCGGGAGTGGTGGCGCAGAGGTTAGATAAGATGGGCCTGTGAACGGAAAGTCGCAGGTTCAACTCCCAGTACAGTCAACAACAAAATGTGGGTAGAAAAGGTGGAACACCCACACCGGCCTCCACCCATTTGCCCCTCTCTGGGCCCCTGAGCAAGACACTTAAGCCCCACCATTTGTTTCTAAAAACAGGTCTCTCTTGAGACACGGTGTGATTTGTTTTGGCCCGGTCTGTTCTCTACTCTGTTGGCCATTTTAGTTAGCTTCTGCTGCTATTTGTATCTGTATTTCTATTTTATGTTTTCCTGTCTGCTGTGCATGTTTGGTTCTTTTGTACAGCACTTTGGTTGGCCTTGTTGCTGTTTTAAGTGCTCTATAAATAAATTGGTATGGTATGGTAAAATGAGTTTGCGTGACTCAATGAGATTACCCGTATAAATAAAGCGTAAATGAAGAAAAAAAAAAAAAAAAAAAAAAAAAAAACCAACACGTGCCCCACCTCGAGACCTGGCTCAAGAGTGGAGCCCCCGCTGATTCTCCACGTCGAGAAGAACAAGTTGAGGTGGCTCGGGCATCTGGTTAGGATGCCTCATGGACGCCTCCCTGGTGAGGTGTTCCAGACACGTCCCACCAGGAGGAGACCCAGAGGAAGACCCAGGACACGCTGGAGGGACTATGTTTCTCGGCTGGCCTGGGAACGCCTCAGGATTCCCCCAGAGGAGCTGGCCCAAGTGTTTGGGGAGAGGGAAGTCTGGGCCTCCCTACTTAAGCTGCTACCCCCACGACACGACCCCGGATAAGCAGAAGAAAATGAATGGATGGATGGAATTTTCTTCTTCTTCTTATAACTTAAAGTCAAAACTTCCCTGCAGTTGGTCCAAGAACAGCTCAAAAACACTGTCAACTGGTCAAGTTTTATATTTATATCTTACGTTATATATTTTATATATACAGTATAAATAAAACTGACAAGTGCTTTGAATAATTTCGTGGGAAGGCTGCAATAGTTTCTGGTATTATTATAGTATGGTATTTTGTATTTTTAATTAAAACAGAAATAAGAAACATAACCAGATCAATGTATATTGAAATAATCTACAAGTTTCAGTCATACACATAAATAAATATTCGAAATTAAAATAAAGAGCTTAACCTAAACTACAAATAACACCAAAACTTTGAGTTTGTTTGAGACCTGGGTTAACAATAAAATAGCAGAACACAAAGAGAGTGGTTAATTTAGTTATTTTCTTATAGTGTGCCAGTATCACACGCTGTTGTGATTTTGCTTTTAAACTCCTTTAAGTGCACAATTATTACACCTGGCTTCCATCAACCCACAGCACGTCCAGCAGCATCATGATGGCGATTACTATGCATAATTTTCCACACTTTGAATTTATGCCACGTTTTTATAATGACAAAAAACACATTCCGTACTAAAAGCTAATTAAACGCTTATCAAAGTTAAAACAAACCCTTATGAGCACTGACCCGCTGTGAGAAAGCATGACGCACTCTCCTGCGGAGCAGACACGACGAGCCGCCGGGAGAGGACGGATAAGTCTCTGAACAAAACCCCGCACACCCTGAGAGCCATAACGACCTGGAAAACACCGCTGCTGCTTTAATTTAACTTTAAAAAACAACTAATGCTGTTAGAGGTGAGCCGCTTGAATTCACGTTATTTACAGGGCGCCGCCATGTTGTTTTAAAACCCTGTCCAAAAGAAAAAAAAGAGCAACTTCCGGTTTAAAGAGCGTCCGTGTGAAACTTTGCGTGAAATCTACGGTTCCCCCTAGCGACCAACTGTTAACTGCAAGGTCTCACTCATACTGTAAACAAAATAAAAACTTCCACAAACCTTTATTAAAGTGCCAATAAATAAATAAATATTAAGTTAATTACAGGAGACACACATGAGACAAACAACCATGCTCACAGACCTAAAGCCAGTCATCAAAAGACACACACAAAGAAGGAGAAAGTGTTAAATCCACACAGAAAGGACCCAAACTGAGGTCTGAAGTCTGAGTCCTATTGTAAGTCTACATTGATGCCACCGCTCCACTGTGCAGCCATGAAGTGAAGCCCCTTCTGCTAGTATCTAAATAAACAAACAAACATAACAACAAACTACTACAAAAGTTGTAAATGTAGAGACCTGATTAAACCTGTAAAATTCACAATAAATTAATTATAAGCAGCCTCCAAATGGCAAGAACAAGAATATTTTTACCTAGATCTGTAGGTTTGTCTGTTAATAAAATTGAATCGCTAAACAATCTTGAATAAAACTCTCAGAAAGTAGTGATTGGATGTAGAACTACAACTGATTAACTTTTGGAGTCAACCCAGTTCAAGATGGCTTCCACAACTAATCCATCTCAATCGATACAAAACTGACAGTACGTCAATTTTAAAGATGTTAAGCTAAAACTTGGTGAGGCAGTGTTCCGCCATTACTATTGTGCTTGTAGGCTGGAAGCAGCTCGGCTGCTGTCACCACAAGTTATCATTGAACCTTGATAAAACTAATTATATGATATTTAGTAAAAAAATGATAACTGTCGATGTTCCTTTTAGAGTTGATGGTGTTGAGATATGCAGAATAGGTGAGGTGAAATTTTTGGGTGTAATTATTGATGATAAACGGTCATGGAAACAGCACATAAATTCTGTAAAAACTAAAATATCTAAATCCACCGCAGTACTGTATAAAGTAAGGGACTTATTGAATGATAAAGCCTTGTATTTGCTGTATAATACAATTATAGTCCCACATTTAATTTATTGTGTTGATGTTTGGGGAACAGCATGTAAAACTATAACGATGCCTATTTTTATTTTGCAGAAAAGAGCTATAAGAATTATCACAAGAAAGCATTATTGTCATCCATCTAGTATTTTATTTTATCAATTGAAATTACTTAAGTTTCATGATTTGGTTAACTATAATATTCTTTTAGTACTGTATAAAGCTCAGAACTACACACTACCTTCAAACATTCAAACGTATTTTGTAAAAAGGAAAAGTTGCTATAATCTTAAGGGAACAGACATTTTTGTTAAACCACAGTACAGAACCAGTTTAAAGGGGTGGTCTACTTCAATTCAGGGAATAGGTCTGTGGAATAGTTTGGAAAACGATGTAAAAAAAGTAAGGTCATTGCCTATATTTAAGAAAATGATTTAAGATTAAAATTTTGGAAAGATACATATAAATACGTAAAATTGTGATGAGTTAATTATTTTGTTATATTACTTATAGATGATTATTGTTTGAATTGATTGTTTGAATTGATTTTGTTTTAAACAAGGGGCAGATATAAGATTTTTCTTCTTCTGCTACCTTTCATTTTATGACGTGTTTTTTTTTCTCATTTGGTTTCTAATTGTTTTTGTGTTTTAAATATGAAATGAATAAAAATGACAAACAAACAAAACAAACAAACCACACACAGCATCAGAAGGTAACACAAATTAACTCCTCACTTGTTACATTAAACATTTGTCCAGCGTGCAGACGGTCCTTCACAGCAACGTGTCTAGAAGACACTGTCTTCTTCTCTTCTGACAGGAGCAGAGAAGTGATGCAGTCCTGCAGCCATTTCTAGATTAAACCAAATGTTGCATTCATTACATTTCAGCTGTGGCCCCAGGCTGGTCTCTTTTGTTTTCAAGCGATGTCTCACTCCTCATGACAATGGAGCGATGTTTTCATCTTCAACATCCTTGTTCTCTATTTTGCTCCAGGCCTACATCCTGGACATCTCGTCTTCAGCCGTTGGATCTGAGGTCTTATCCAGACATGACCTTTGGAAAGCGCACTCACTTCCTCTCTTCTTGTAAACAACCTTCACATTGATCAGAACACATGCTAAAGTGCTGCAATTACCTGCGAGCAGCAGGTCTTCACAAGCACAACAATGACATGTTTAAAAATATCTGATTTCATGGAGCAAAAACAACAAAACTCTAAAGACATTTCAGGTCTCACCACTGCCTTTTATGCAATTAGAAATCTTATGTTGAGAAATGATGGAGTTGTACTTAAGCTGTTAAACCTTAAAAATAATATTATGCACAACCTCTTAATCTCTTTATTAAGACTTAGAGAGTTAAAGCTGCTGATATTAGAAAATCATGTGATGTGTGATATTTTTGTTTAATATTGAAATGATAAAATTAACTGCAACTAGAAAAAATGCATTTCCTGCTAAAATGTAGTGAGAATGGTGCTGAAGGATTTTGATAAAAGTTGCTGAACAAGCTAAAGCTTAATTGAATGATACCAATAGTTGAAAGACGGAAAGAGGAAGCTGAAAAGGAGCACAAGAAATGTGAAACTATTAAAAAAAGTAGTTGAAAGATGATAAAAAGATTAAATTAGCAGAAACAAACTAAAAATAGCAGAAACATGTTTAAATGACCATAAAAAAAATGCTGAAAGGAGTGTAAAAAGCCTGAATTAGCTGGAAAAAAGCCAAAAGGAACACAAAAATGCTTAAATTGGAAGAAGCTTAACAGAGCACAAACAGCTAAAATGAGCAGAAAATAAGATGAAAGTAGCTGAAAAAAGCCCCGAAAAGCTGAAATTAGCTGAAAAGAAGTCAAAAATATTAAAATAGCAGAAGCATAGCTGAAATGTAGCTGAAAAAGCAGAAAAAAGTTGAAATTAGACGAACAAAGCTGAAATTAGAAGAAAGAAGCTGAAAAGATTGGGTAAAGGATAAGAAAATTAGAAAAAAGCTTAAATGAGCAGAAAGAAGCTAAAAGGAGATAAAGGAAGATGAAAATAGCAGAAACAAACTGAAAAACGCTGAACTAGAACAAAAGCTGAAAAAAGCAACAAAAGGTTTTAAACAGCACAAAGCGTTTGAAGGAAAAATGAACGAAAAGGCTAAATATTTCTAAACACTGAAAAAACCCCACAAAAAGTCATAGCAAGTATGTCCTGACTGAGCTGAATGTTTTGAAATATGACATTGAAATGGCACAAAAACTCTGCAACGACTTACAAAAGAAAAATGTACGAAAGAAAAATGCATCTTTGTTGATCCATTATTAACGTGTTTATTGATCACAATAAACTCACGTTTCCCTCAGTCTCTTCCGTCACCATGAACTGAACCGTGTGGGCATCATGGTTCTGATTTACTGCAGTCCAAAAACGATGTTTCAGTATCGATCCTTTTCAGCGGTTTTACAATGACCATAAACGTTGGTTACGTACTGTAACCCCAGATTCTATGAGTATAGGCGTAGGTAGCCCTTTAAGGCCCTCGCTAGTGGGTTTATCCAATCATGCAAAGCATCGCACTGAAAAGTTTAGTCCACGCCCACCTGTTGTGTGGGCCCCACCCGGTCCGTATAAATTACGTTAAGAGCGGGTAATCGGCTCCCAAATAGCTTTTTCTTCAGCCATTTAGGAGCCAGTGAGGCCCGACGCTTAAAGGGCTACGCCTATACTCATAGAATCTGGGGTTACAGTACGTAACCAACGTTCTATTTCGTATAAGCTTCGCCCTTTAAGGCCCTCGCTAGTGGGTTAAAAGGCGAAGCATGATGTGGTCCTCGCCTCACTGGGTCCATTCGAACACCATATGAAGCGCCTGCGTCACTCAGCTCTCCATGTGCATAATTGCGAGTTGCGTAATTACGCGTACCATGCACAGGCACGTGCTGCCTAGTTATGCGTTCTGAGTGCATGAACGCCTCGGAAAAGTTTTCAACGGGGAAAAAGAAAAGGCTGAAAAAAGGCAGTGAACCAAGCAGATCCACAGTTCTTCAATATGAAAAGATTAATAATAACAAGTGAACTGATTATTAATCAAGTGAACGGATTGGTAACAATAGTCATGAACTGATGAGTGACAATAGAACAAGAACAACAGTCATAACCTGTGGCTGATAACCACATCTCACACTATAAATGCATGCAGTCAGATTTGAGTTTAAATGAGATTCCATGAAACAACAATATTCATTCTGTTAAGGCACTAAGGACAGAATGTGTCATGGAACGAGCCGACACATCACGTAAATAGAAGCGAATAAATGAACAGGGTGTTGACCACGCAGCCGCAGTGCAAATATCCTGCATTGTCACACCATTATGCAAAGCAGTCAAAGATGCAACACCCCTGGTCGAGTGCGACCTGAGGTTGTCAGGAGGCTCTAAATCTGATGCTCTGTAGGCTTCAGAAATGGCCTCACACAGCCAATGTGACAGGCGCTGGGTGGATAATGGGCGACCTGCAGATGCATCTCTATAATGCACAAACAAATGTTGAGTCTGATGCAGTGCGGCCGTGCGTGTTATGTAACACGTCAACGCACGCACAGGACAGAGAAGATGGAAAGATGCTTCTTGTTGTGGTGGGGGGGGGGGGGGGGGGGGGGGAATCCCTCCAACGATATCGCTCTTGATTTAAAAGAGCTCGTGATGTTTTAGGCATAAAAGCTGGGTTAGGCCTCAGATCAGCTGAATTCTGAGACATGACGGAGCGACAGAGAGGGCAGATAAATCGCTCACCCTCTTAGCGGATGATAAAGCCAACAGCAGGGCTGTTTTAAGAGACAAAAATTTAATCGGAACCTGATTCAGTGGCTCAAATGGAGCTTTGATC